GACTGATTCACGGAATGAATAAACAACATCCGTCTACAGAAGACTATGTTCCACGATCAACGGTACGTGCTAATTGTTAAGAGGGCCGTTGGATGTTTCTTCGTTATTTTCTGTGTAACCTTACGCTGACAGTGTAAATACCTGTCGTGGCGTGCACTCGTGGATATAAAGTGTAACGTGCAAAACCTGCCCGCCGTACAGCGTGCGGTACGACGGGTTTGCAAATGCTGCACAGGATAAGGCGCCATAATTCAATCCTCGGGGCGGGAATCGTAAATCCGCGGAACGTGAAATTTTTACACCACCGGTGGACCGTTAAACTCATTTATTGTTCTATAACTTTCTATAACTCTCGATGAAATTCTATCATGGACGAGATTTCGGATCCGACGAGGTTTAGAAGCTATGACTCATCTCTCTTTTCTGACCAAGGTCTCTTTGGAGGACTTTTTAATCCCTTTTTAAATCCATTCTTCGATAGGCGACGCTGCAGAGAACGGTCGTCTGTCGGCCCACAATCTTCTGAAGGAAACAAAACGGATGAGATGGAACTTCTCTCTCATCAGGAGAGAGAAGTTTTGTAACGCTATTCTTTTTTTAAATAAGAAATTAAAAATTGTGCAAACCAATTGTGTTGAAAACATGCAGCGAATCCAAGTCGTTCCAGCTCTGAGAAACAGCTCTCAATCGAAAGATTGGGATCGGGGCGGATAATAAGTGGCTTCTAAAAGGGCTATGGCGCCTTGTTCGGGAAAGTGGCTCGAATAAGATCGATACGTAGGCGAATTTCGCCAGATCGAATAATAATCGTCGTCGTTACACTGGCTGGTTCTTCGATTAACCCGGATAACCCCGACGGGGTCCCCAAAGAATCGTGATAATACGATCTCCCGTGCATTTATCTATCGTCAATTCGTGGCGCGGCGTTCGTGGCGAGCACTCCCTCTTGCTCAAGCAGTGATTCACGATTCGTGTTGCACGTGTTACGATTTCAACCCGATACACATGCAGAAACGTTGGTGTACAGGTACGACTTGCGACACGTTAATCCCGCTCTCTAATTATCCGCGCTTCCTTCCCCACGCGCGTCTGGGATTCTTCTGCCGGTTTCAATCTTCGGTCTAATGGCACAGAAACTGTAATCACGTTTGCTCGAATCGGCCGAATCTCCTCGATCGTGAAAGAATTTTTCGTCGTCTTTCCCTCTTCTTCGTGTGCGCCGATGCGTGAGATAGTACGTTATAGGCGAAGGGCGTTGCATGAAATTCCTTGTTTCCTGCGATTAAAAATGCCGATATACGTTCACAATTGTGAAACAGACGGTTTGGGTCGGTGCCAGTTTGTCCTTATGACAAACGGTACACCTGTTGAATTTCAGCTTTGAAGCTAAAGCCGTAGGCTGAATGTTTGTATCGGTATCTTGTTGTACGCGATGAAAATTTTATTCGCTCGTGAAAAGCCAATTTTATTCTATGTTAATGCAACAACGCGCTTGTAACAAAAAAATTACAGCAATCCAGCTGGGAGATGGCTCGCTCGCTCATCAGATCTTTTTCTCGGAGATTACCATCTAGAGTAAGTAGTGGAGGTAACTTTCTCGAAGAAAAGCGGCTGGCTAGCTAAGAAAGTGTGGAAAATGCATTCAGAAATAAATAATTGCGTGTTTTGACTTTATGATATATGAGAAAAATTAAGTTAAAAATATATATATATATTTCGTTTTCTAAGTTTGCTATTCAGTCTAATTCTTCGGTTGTGTGTTGGAACACGCTTGAAACGCGGTTGCCGGTTCTATTCACGAAGTCAGGAATCGTTACAATTATTGCGAAGTGTAACGTGTCGGTACGACGTGCAGAAAGCGTTTAAAGTTTAAACGCACCGCGGGGGTGTGACTCAGAGGCAAGCTATCTCATAGAGCAGCTAGACGTGCCTATTCGTTGCCCGGCAATTACGATTTGCGAGGGTCGAGCGCGTTCACACGGGAGGGGTTGCTTGCGAAATAATAAACGTTAGTTCCTTTATCGATTCCGAGCACGAGACCTCTATGTGGAAGAGATCCAAGAATAGTCGCGAAACCATTGACATTGCCGTTCACCTACCTTTGCTACACCGCATTTTGTAAATTGAGATAAAAGCCATTGATTCGTTCCTTTATTCGTAATATTTACGACGTTGGAGAGCTCATTGTGATTTATTTTCGTCTGAATTTAGAAATTAATATATATATAGTGAAGATTTAAAGAACTTAAATCTATCGATTAAAACAGAATAACTTTTTTCACAATCGGATTTTGAAAAATTATAATGAATGAAAATTTAAATTTGTATATAGATTTATATCAATTATATACGTATATCGAAAATATAAAAAAATTTTTAAATTACAGAAATCCTGAAAAACTACAATTTTTTCATCATTTTTTAAAAAGTTATTTCGCTTTAAAAGAAAGGATATTTTGTACCTTTTACTTTCTTCTTTTAAGACTATCCGCCATTGTATATTGATTTCAGAAGTCGTTGTACCTGCAATCCAATCCAGTTTTTTTTTCCTTTTATTTATCTCGCACACTCCATTCTTCACGCCTTATTTAAGTAACAAGTTTGCCACATTCGTTCCACGGATTATATACCACTGTCTCGCCGAGGCAGGGTACACGGGTACTTCGTACAAACAGTTGATATTGTCGTGCAAACGATATTGTTACGGTGACGCATAATTTGCACGGTGTAATCGCTCGCGCACCTGCGAGACCCAGCGAAAAATTATTCTGAATGGTTGGAACGATTTTCTTTTGCCCTTTCCGGTCGCGCAAGTTCTTCTTGACTTCGTCCCTGCGCGGTGTAGGGCCATCAATGTCGCCCACGAAACAGGCGGACCGATATGAATGAACGTCAGGAACCGAGGGCCTTTTTGAGGGTGCTCACGTGCCCGTCACGTGAGGTAGGCACGCCCATTGTCTCGCGGAGAATGCACGCTCTGCTGTGTCGCGCATAGTGACACGCACAGGGGCCGATACATACGTGTACACGTCCACGAAAGGTAGACGTGTACGTGTGGCTGGTGGCGGCGCAACGTAGGTTACGGGAACGGTGGCTGAATATTAAAGAGGGGAAGAAGTAAAAGGCGATAGGATGTGGCGCGAGAGACACACAGGAAGTGGCGGCGCTAATTGTGAAAGAGAACCGTTTCGCTAGGGTGTGTTTCTTCGCTATAAGTGGCCCCTTTCGATCGATGAATTCGTTCTCACCAATCCTATTATTCGACATGTATTCGATGTTTCACGAGACTTTCCCCGCTTTAAGCCGGGATACGCAAGGGTTGCACGTTTCACGTATTAAAAATTCAACGGGTAATGGCAGGGTTCACGATGTCTCGTACACGTTTGGCGATCTTTATGCGCCGAGCTCTCGACCGAGTCCTCCATATTTCTTTTCACCCTGTACCCCCTTCGTTCTCGCACGTATCTGGAATTTAAACAGGAAATTATCGAGGATTATTCGAAGGATTGTCGCGATTCGTAGTATTTCGTTCAATCACGTTGATGATTTAATTTTTTTTTTTTATTTTCGAATCGAATGGAATTTGATATTTTT